AGATTTTAAATTGAAAACTTGAAGATAAAATGGGTTTTGACGATTTTGTTACAAAATGGTTCAATAAAATTCCTTTCCTGCTAATATATTTGCTTGCTAAAATACTTGCAAATATATTTTGAAGTAGGTATTCGTACTCATAATTGGTTAAGGTAACATAAATAAGGCAAGTGCAATATATCCTAATGAAACTTTTAAAAGTATTGTCTTCGAAACAGCAAAGTGCAAAAATGCAAACAATAGCTTTTAGAATTCAATTTTTCAAATAGAAATATATTTTTCTATTTCGCTAGGGAATGCAAGGCGAATAAAAATTTGACAAGTACGGGAGTAACAATTGTTGTGAGGCGGCTGGGTCCGTCGACATCCCAATATAGATGGATAAGCAATTTGCAAGTAAAATGTGGACGTCTCGCGCACGCTAGCTATATCACCTCTATTTTTATTACTTTCCTACAATTTTCGCATATTCGAATAATTTAAACTTCAATATTTCATAAAATTTCGTCAAGAAATTTTATTAATTGGATGAGATTTAGTACCCTCGCTAGCACGAATATTGCAAGGGCCACCCCCAGCTGAGAGCCGCAAACGGCTTAAATATGCCAAAGTCAACCGGTTCTATAGCTTATATCTTGCCGTGGAAACCATGGGTCCCTCGAGGGCCATAGGCCTATCTCCTTGTTAAGGAGCTTTCAGTAGCCTCTTTGAAGCTTCCGGCAATCACACGTCAGGTGCTTCCGCCAAAGAATAAGCATATCTATTCCAAGGTGAAACGTTGCTATAATGCTCCAGAGGCGCTGTTCTTGACGAATTTTGTCCCTTATGTAAAAATGAGAAACACCACTTTTTTTTACCAAAATCCTCAACACAATTTTACATCTTATCAATATCACAGTTTTTATTGACTACGTCTACCCTATCACCCCGCTATTCGACAGCAAATCCTACACTCCACTTATTAGACTCAATATTTGTACTTTACAATGAAAATTATAAAACGCTAACACTTACTACTTAAATGGAATTAAAAGTAAAACATTCTACTTTTTTTATTTATTACCTAATTTGTCTTATTTAATAGCGGAAATGAACCTATTGTTTCGTATCTAAATTGCGGATATTTGGTTTTTCAAACAAACCAACGTTTGACAGGTCCCATATGGATGACTGTTAGGAAAAAGATAAAAAATAGTTTCATTACCAATATGTAACAATCGCTAAAGCCTCAGAACTCGTTATTTTAATATCATTTATTTATCTAAATGCGAATATTTTATAATATTTGTTGAAAAAAGGCCATTTAATTGCAAACCATCTGATGAGGTCCTACTCGAAACTCGGAATCCATTTTGCGTTCGACTAAGAACAATTGTCATCGCTTCAAATGATAGCTAGCTGGTACAGTATAAAATCAGTAGACGTTCGTAATGAATAGTTGGCCAGCTTAGTGCCTCGTGTGCCAATTGGCCTCGTGCCGGAAAATAATCCACTACATCCAACTGATCATGCCGGTTAAGGATTTCCTCATTCAATTACGGAGATTTCTTTGTATCTTTCAGATGAAAAGAAGACTCCGCAAAGGTTGTTTTATGTTTTAATTAATTTTTATTGAAAATACATTCTAGTGCAATTAGTCTTTTCCAATATTTGAAATATTACAATTAGTTCTAGAGACGGGATTATTATATAAAACTATACAGTATAATTAATTTAACTCACAACAAAACAACTATAGTAACGGTAAAGGTATTTGAATACTGTAATTAATAAACACATTAACAATAAACAATGTTGCAGAATTATCGGGGTCAAATAATATGTTTTAAATAATACAAACTACTCTATATTGCACACACAGAGACAAGCAAAAGACAAAATTTGTTATAAGCCGCATGCAGCCTTACAATTACGTAAAAGAAAACACTAATCAAATAATATTCCAAGTTTAGATAGACTGTAACTAACCGGGAAGTAACGCTTTACAGGTGATAAGCGTTTTTCCCGGCCGTAAAGGTTATAGGTTAGATTTTTGTCGTCGGTTTGTCACACATGCCGTTATAAATTGTTATTATCCAAATTTGAATATTGGGAAAGATGATAAAACAGAATATAATCATTACTGGTCGAGTACCAAACGTCTCAGAACTACAAAAACATATTATCAAATAGTCTGCGATATTACGTGATAAAATCTTTGCTACACTTTATCACGGAGATACGTTAAATGGTGAAAAATAGAGAAATTGTAGTCTCTTAGTGAAATAAAGCCATTTGTGTTATAAGAGCTTTTATGACATGAAAGTCATAAAAATAATATGAACAGCATTAAAGAAATACGTATGTGTGCATTTTCACAACTCTCTTATACAAGCATAAAACCTTATCGACTAATTGCGTTTGTAGAATCTTTAAGGCTCAATTTATATTGCAGCGGAACGAAATGGACGCGAATTTTTGTAACGATATTGTACACACGCCAGCACATCAAGCTACATATTGACGTATCTTGTTCCGTTACAATAGAGGCGATTTTCGAACAAAAATGTGTAGTCTGATGTGCCGTTCCTCGTACATTATGAACTTCTTTTTATAATTTTTTTTATAAATTTGTGGTCATTCGTGCAACATATAAACTAGATACAAGCCAAAACCTTCCACGGAATTCTCGCGCATGCTCACTTCCATTTCGTTCCGCCGCAATATAAATTGAGCTTAAATGTCTGTCCTGAAAAGTTGTCATTTTGCAGATGTGGTCTTAGTACAACAAAGATGCGTGGGCACGTGGTCATAGTTGGCAATATTAATTAAAATAGTCCCATTCTCAATTGTAAGATCTAGGAACTCGATTGCTTTAAGGTTGTATTGGTCAATTTCTACGTTCTAATGAATTAATAACAAAGATCGAAAACTTAGAATAATTCATTCGGTTATCTAACCAGCACACACAGGCAATCCATGCCAGATGCTCTGCCTGTTAAGCCACGGCACGAACGAACAGACCTTTCCAATTTTTCTGTAAGCTTCTTGCAGGTCTTTGTTTTTGGTTATTAACAATTTTTTTGACGTATCTGTAAGAAATTTATTTCTTCACTTAGAGAGGTACCCTTACAGCTCCACCACCGCTGACTAAAGAAGTCGCTATAATTGTAATTTTTAAGTTTATTGAATGTCACGATGTTTTACCATAATATTCAATTTTTTTATATATATAATATAGTATGTATAATATATAAAATACTTCGAAATACGTTCTATATTTTTTTATACAATGAAATGGCGATAACGAACGATGACTATGCCAAAAAAGGAATCCTTACAAAAATAGTCCCAGTGACAAGACTCACTTTAAAAAAACACATTGTATATAAATATTGATTATTATGAAAGAATCTGAAAAGAGCAAAGAACGGCTTGGCGAACGCAAAAACGAACACTGTCACGCGACTTGAACGAACTCTAAAACTGTTAGTAAACTATACTAGGTTTACTAGCATAAAACCTTACTTAAAATTTATTAATACAAAGATCGAACACATTGATATTTCCTCGAAATAACAGAACTCCAACCTGCGTCTGTGTGTGTGCCAATCTAGGGCAAATTCATCAGAGTAATTTTCCAAAAAAAAATGATAAATATCGTGATAGTAAAACATTATATTTAGAGTTGCCAGGCCCTTGAGTCGAAAATTACGTTTCGTTACCTGAAAAGTAAAATTTTTGCTGCAAATCTTAATTGTCGTTTTTTGACCAAAATTTCTAACTGTGAATAGATACAGAACGTAAAACACATATGTACGGCTATTTTATTAGTAGATTTCATTTTCTTTGCTCCATGTCTGAGCTACTTTATTGGTTAATTTCCATGCGTTAGTAAACGATTTGGGATTGATTTACAACAATCCCAAATCGTTTTTATATATATAACTATATATGTATATGTAACTTTTGGCCCCACTAGGGGGCCAAAAAGGTACGATAAATGTAAGAAATGTAACCATCTGACAACACTGATTATAATCAATAAAATCAATATTACCTTATTACAAAGTTAAATTAAAACCATTCCTATCTTGTCTGTAAGTTGGAGCCTTGGCTGTCCTGCACTAGCCGTAATAACATTTACTAAGCCTTATGTAAGCTCCACCTGACATGCAAGCAGAGTATAACTGTAACTATCCAGTAATTTAACATTGCGTACAAAAGAAAAAAATCCATTTCTAGTTCTCAGATCTCTGCAATGCAAATAAAGCATGTGCTGTATAAGGAAGAATATAATACAAAGGCGAAATCACTTCCTATCCTTCGTATAATAAAGCCACATGTGGTCACGCGTCAGAAGTGCTTTTATCACCTTAAAGTCACAAAAAACCGACCTCAAAAGTTCGTGGAATTATATTGAAATCGGTTACCGGAAAGTGCGCGAAACCGGATTCAACCCTTAGTTTGCCACTCCTAAAGGTGGAATATTTGCTTCAAATTGAAATGGGTGCCCTCAATGGGTACTACTCAGGTACCCTCTTTTGAACAAAAAAAGAATCACAAATTCGATGCACAAATTGAGTTATCGTGTAACATACTTACAAAAACTGAATGAAGTCGAATTGAGAACCTCCTCCTTCTTCAAGTCGTTTAAAAATAATACGAACTACATAACACAAATTATGTGTATGTGAAATTTTATAACTAGTCTATTTAAGCATTAAAAGTTTCGTTCGTTGTATCTTTAAATCTCTCTACTGAAAAGTTGACATTTTGCAAATGTGGCCTTATCAGACCATGGCTAACAGGCGTGTAAGCAATTGTCAGCATCGAATCGAACATAGCACCTTAATATTGAAAACGTGCTTAAAGTGTATATACCTTAAAGATTTTTTTAAAGATTTAAGTGAAAATAGTGGATCCCCTACTTAAAATACACTGTATATTTATTCTCTTTTTTTTTTTTTTTATGTTAACCGGTAGGCAAACGAGCAGACAAGCCACTTGATGGGAGGTGGTCATTGTCGCCCATGGACACGAGCAATACCAGAGGCATCACCCATGCGTTGCCGACTCCGGAGAACCTTGTTTACACGTCTTTTGAAGAACTCCATGTTATAGCGCAAGGGGAACACTTCAGGAGGAAGGCCATTCCACATCTTACTGGTTCGGGGAAGGAACGAACGAGATGCTCGAGTGGTCGTGACGTGCCAAGCATCGAGGAAGTGGGGATGGAGTCTTCTCCTTCGGCGGGTCGTGCAGTGGTAAAAGAGTGACGGAGGCACCAACTCAAAGAGTTCGTCTGAGCACTCCCCGTTATACAGACGGTAGAACACACATAGAGAGCCAACATCTCTCCGCAGACTAAGGGGCTCTAAACCGTCTGTGAGCATAGGGTCGTCGACAATTCGAACAGCCCGACGTTGGATGGAGTCAAGTGGATCAAGCTGATACTTGGGTGCTCCAGCCCAGAGGTGCGAGCAGTATTCCATATGGGGCCGAACCTGAGCTTTGTATAGCAAAAGCCGGTGCCCCGATGTGAAACACCGCTTCGCTCTGTTGAGCACACCAATCTTTTTAGAAGCCATTTTGGCTTTATTCAACTCTGTTTTGAGACGAGGTAGCGAAAATACATTTCTATTTGAAAAATCATAGTAACGGTTGAAAGTAATACACAAAATCTTAATTAAACGTGCTTCAAATCTCGATAGACAGGAATTACTTGGAACTCCATTACATTTCTGTTGACAATATCATCAACTCATAAAAGAGATTGCGTGTAGGAATGTGCTGTTCTTGAATAAAAAGTGGGCACGCTATTTTCGCGTATCGCTGTGGCTACTAAAGAATAATTATTACCGTGTTGTTCGCATGTGTATGTACATTTCGAGTAGGAATATGAGATAATGTAATTATTTTCCATGTCAGACCACAGCGTTATCGGCGTTTGTTTACTTTTTTAACATATTACTTTCACGGTTTCGTCTGCTGTTTATCGCAAGCAGTGTTTCACGCACAAGTTTTGCTGTAGAATAAATATTGTCACACGAATTTAGTGATCTAATTATTATTAATTTTTGTGCTGTTAACTATTTTTCGTAGTGAACAGAATTAATTGAGTTGCGATTTGAGTTTCTAATAACGGCACGTTTACACTATGTCGACAAGTCGTTCCGGCTTACCCGGCGGCAGTCTACGCAATGTGTAAACAATGAGTTTGACGACCGTAGTTAACTGCCGAATCTACCAAGTGGACTAGGTGTTCCCTACTCATTCGATGGTTTAAAAAAGGTGTAATCACTTTCAAGCGACTCAGGCGCCTTCGGCAAGTGACAGTCGATGAAACAAATTTCAGCGTGTCGGTGGCAGCGCCCCACCATAATGTTCGTGCCGGGGGCTAGGGACTACCTACATACCCGATTAGTTTGTAGAGCTTTTCGAATGATTTTTTTTTTATATAATATCTAGCCACGGGACGAACGAGTCATGCGTCTGATGGTAAGCTACACGCCTGTCCATAATAGTTGGAGAGCCACTCAGAGCTTTAAATCGCAAAGATCTGAAGGGCACTGCCACTACACGCGTCGCCCTGATACATAAATTGACAAATCCCTTGTGTTAACAGTAAAACGACTGTGCCTCCTTCGGTAAAGCAAAGTTATCTACCGAAGATGGTAGTCGACCTTGTGTAAACACCATTACTATGCCATAGTAAAATATTACTGGAATGTTTGCTGCTTTGTTATTTTACCGGTGCTTTTGTGTATATTTTATGCTACGTAGGCATTTGAAAAGGGAATGTCTTCCAGTTAAATTAATGGGAACAATTTAATTAAACAATCAATTCAACTGCTTGTCACTGAAGAACAATAGATCCAATAATTTGTTTTTAATCAAACAATTTCTTTTCATGACGGAAGTGGAAATAACGAATCCAACTTGTAATAACAAAACAATATGACAGAAATTAATATAAATCAACTATTAGAAATAAATGGGATTCTGGGCGAGACATCTGGCAGTTTAATTTGTTTGCCGGCATTGTCATGAGAAATTAATATTCCAATTTATTCCACTTCTGTATTGGGGCCTGTAAATCAATATTCGGTGTCGTCTCTTTCGCGGAATGAGGCGTTTTAAGCACTTCCCCATCTATTTGGATAATTGGAACGTTACGCCTCAGTAATTACAGAAATTGTGTAATTTACTGTGTATGCTTACTCCGGTACGTTTACTCGACACTTGAGACGTGGTAATTTAAAAAATTTAATTTCTATATTTTTTAAGCTTTGGATACATTGCTACAAAAATTAAAATTACGGTTATTACAAATAGGTATATACGTGTGTATAGCAATGAATACCAAAATATGGTTAACAATGTACGTGCTCTTCATCATCGTCCATACCCTGATTTCACTCACTGTTGGGTTATAGGCCTCTAGTAGTTTGTGCCATTCACGACGATCCTGTGCTAGTCTCTCGCCCATCTGTGGCCCGTAACTTTGACGATGTTGTCCACCCATATCGCTACTGGACGTCTCACGTTTCTATATATCTTGTCCACCATTCGTTTATCGCTTTATTCCATGTAAAATCCTGCTTAGGTCTGTTTTAAGTTCGTTATTCGAGCTCCTATGTTATGAACCATAATTCGTCTTCGGATTTCGGAATTTGGAACTCGATCTCGAAGTTTCATGCGGAGCAACTTTGTGCAACTCTCATTCTGTACACAGACTTCTGTATGAGCTCTTCAACTTCATTTATTATGGTTAAAATTATATAATATCTATTTAAGATAAATAAAACGTTTATTGTCTTGCATCACACATACAATAATATAATACAGTAAATGGATTCAAAGAGAGACACAGAAATCTAAATTAAAGAAAATAAAATAAAAAACAAACAACAAGAAATTTATTTTTTTTTAATTTTGTTCGTTTGAACGTTTGTTTTAAAGGGCCCGAAACGTTGGTTTGTTTGAAAAAACAAATATACGCGATTTAAATAAAATAAAAAAATAGTTTCATTTCCTATATGTAACAATCGCGAAAACATAAGAACTCGAATCAAAGTACTAATCTATTTATCAACAGCTTATGTGTGCTGCAGCAAGCCAAATAGATCGCGGCTCAGTGCAAAATTTGCCCAATAGCAAAGCACTGATTTTCAACCACCACCTTCGATGGCAGCGCGATGCGTTGCATCAAAAGCAAAAAAAATGTGAAGGAAATGTAGTGTGCATATGTGTAAGTATCTAATATTAAAAATGGTAAAATTATAATACAAATGTAATGTAATATGTAAATGTAATACAATTACAATATGGTTTATGTAAAACTCTTTTTTTTTTAACCTGAAGTAATTGATAGAGCATAGAGCAACAACGTTTTCGCATGTCAAAGGGGAATTGCGTGACAAATTAACCAACTTTACTTGTGGGCAAGGCAATGGCAACCACGAAAATTATCTTTACATTTATGACACGTTTTTATACTTACAGCAATTTTTTGACCGTCATTCCTAAAGTGAAACATTCGTTCATACAACATTCGCCATTCGGCTATACAAGGTTTGACAAAAGGTTGAGTCAAACTAAAGCAGGTTAACGTGTTACGCCTCTTACAGACACGGTATCCCAAAGGATTTGGTATTTTTGTGTCCTAGAACTACTCGGTGTCTCTAACGCGCCATTAAAAAAATATATTGAAAAGATTTAAAAAAGCTCATAACGTAATAAACATTGTAATATACAAATTTTGAAAAGTCCGCGCTCATTTGGTTGGCGGAGTAACTATTTTCTAATTTTTTTGCCAGTATTGTTTGTATTATAAACTGAAGTTTGACTTAGCTTTTTTGTTACATTCTGTATAATTTTGTAAATAATTAACAATAACACGTATTGTAGCGGTTTGAATAACATTTTTCTTAATTATTCTGGTTGTTTAGTCAGTCACCTTTGCAAAGTTATCCGATGTTGAACATAGTCAAGATCCACTTTGCAATGTCAATAACATTAAATAAAATATTGTCTTAATACATTAGCTACAGCAAGACTTCTCACCCTTGGCTTAATAAGGCCACATTTACGAAATTGCATAATAATAAACGTTGTGACGTATTTCGAAAACACGGAAAATGTGTTTTTCGACATTAAACAATTATAACTTTAAATACAAAGATCGAACACTCAGAAAAAAATCCTTCGATTCGGCCGGATTCGAACCGACGTCTTCTAGCTTACCGTGCCAAACGCTATACCAACTAACCCACGGAACGAACCAGCGGACCTCGCGAATTTTTCTATGTCTTTGCGTCGTGTCTTTGTCGTCGTGCCGGATCGGAGGAATTTTTTCTGAGTGTTCGATCTTTGTATTAATAATTATAACAAACTAGTGGAGTAATATCACAAAAAATAATTGAATATCAATTCAATAAAAAGTTACAATTATAACATTTTAATTAAAAAAAGTCTACCTTAAAATATTGTGGAATAATTAAATCTATTTGCCAAGCGTTATAGAAATCGGTTACTGGTAAGTGCGCGAAACCGGATTCATCCCCTAGCTTCCCACCCTTAGAGTTGGAATATCTTCTTCAAATTTAAATGGAACCAATACTGAGGTACACTCGCTTCAATAAAATAACAATCATCAAAATCGGTTCTCAAATGCCGAAGTGATCGCGTAACATACAAAAAAAAATAGTCGAATTAAGAACCTCCTCCTTTTTTGAAAACGATTAAAACGATACGATTAATTAAACTTCTATCAATAAAAACAAAATTTCGTTTTTTACTTCGTTCAGCTACGGAACAATTAGATTCATTTGATTGTTATTAGAAATATTCCCATGAAATTTTCTCTCCCGTTTTCCACAGTAAATACGTAAAGAGACTATGCGTTTATTTTACAGTAAGCGAGTATATTTTATTTTTAAAAGGTAATTGTTTAAATATCGTGCATTAAATTTCACCGCGTCTACCTCACACTCTTCAAAGCCTAGGCAATCACGATACCATTTCACCTTAAATTATAAAATTTCACATGTAAGTCGAAAAGTAACAGAATAAGGGGATATTTTCTTAAAACAATGATAAGCGTCTTACATTACCAAAATGTCCTATTTATGCTCTCTTTCTTTTAAAAGGACAAAAAACTACATTCGTCTAATCTAGCAAAGAGTGACCTCATTCTCTGAACTGACATTTGGCGAGAAAAATAGTTCATTAAATAAATGGTCGTACTCTGGCCCCCATCACTCGTTCGTGTCTGTTCAGATTTCGATTCTTTCGGTTATCTTCTTTTTAATTTTTCAACTTTCTTGTCGTATAGAAGAGATTGATGTCAATGACACAATATTACAATTTAAAACCATGTCAAAAAATAATGTGATCGACACTAATATAGACAACAATAATTAATATAAAATATAGTAGTATAACTAAAAATATATATTGAAAATACAAAATATTGTCGAAATACAATAAGAATATAATTACATTTTCGTCGAGACAATTTTTTCCACACAATTGCATGTGGTATTTAAATTGCCAAAAATATTATTATATTTTCTTTTTACATTTAGCTGAGATTTTAATTGCACAAGATGGTATTTTTAAAACGAAATAAGAGACACGAAAGGAATTTTAATTATGGTAAAATACGTATATGATATGCTATAGAAACAAATATTTTTTTAATAAAAAATAAATGCACATTTGATCTCCATCTCACCTGATGGAAAGTAACGATGAGGTCGACGATGGAGCGTGCACACCTTTATAAGGGTGTATTACCACCGGCGAAGCGAGACGATTTTTAAAATTTGTATGTTTTTCAAAATATCAATTCTCTCCTAGCGCATCTTTGATGGAAATGGTCGGGATTGACGAGGATAGGCGAAACGAGATTTGAAATATTTGCTAATGTAACATTGAAACATATTGCTGTCTACATAGACTCTTTATTAACTCTACAACGGAAACACGATTCACGATGTCTCATACGATATCGCGCGAACTCGCCCATGCTCGCGATGGCCATTATTGTCAATCGCGAGATTGTGGGATACAGTCGCGTGCATTAAAATGTAAACGTTCACACATTTTCGAAATTATGTAAATATTTATGTAGATATTTCAAAAAATTTACTTTGTGCTGCTTTCAAAAACATGTAATCACGACACCATTTTAAAAAAGGTGTACTTTTATTTCAGAGAAAAATAAACAAATTACTGTCAATGAAAACTATATAGTCCTGGTGTCATACAAGTATCTATATCATTTTCGGAAATATTTGTACAATGCATATTTCATATTTATAATTGCATTAAAATGTACACGATTAGGATTGTGATTTTATCATAATTATGTAACCACTTTTAAAATATTGCATCGTTTTCAAAAATATATAAACACAATATTGTTGTAATATAATGTAAACATACCAGTGCCAGTTGTAAACTTTTTTATGTGTATTTTGCTAGTTCGTAATATTTGCCCTGGGATAAAAGATTATATAAAAATATATTTTCGAGAAAGTTCTTTTTATTTTCATTTATTATTTATTTATTTTATCTTAGAGGGTACAAACAGCCTTATATAACATCATGATTATTTCTTCTTATAGTATCTTCATCTGATTCTTCTTCCGTTAACATATTTAATAATAAGAATTTGCGTGGACATGGTACTTTAGCCGCGTGTTTATCGCTAGGCGAATGGAACAGCACTGTGTTCACTGTCCATAACCCTAGCGCGAGCTCGCGATGGCAATTTTTGATGGGAATAGGTCAACGAGATTTCAATTCTTGCTGCGCGTCATCTCGTCTCGCCTAGCCGGTGGAAAAGCACTTTAACCCGTGTAGCCTTGAAAAGGCCCAAGCTATTATAAGTTCAAGGAATAAGTCTGGAGGCAGGGAATTCCACTCCATAGCCGTTCGCCATACAAATGTGTCAAACGCTTTATACGAATCCTTGGAATATCCACAACATGTATGATTGTCCCCACAATCATTTAATATCATTTTATAATATCTAAAAAAATATAGAGAGACTGGAAAGCAGGACAAGGACTAATCATAGCTGGATTTACAGTCATCTCAGTTAAGAAGCAAGCATCGCAGTAAGAACCAAGCGCGAAATGTCGTCACCTTCCTAAATTCTGTCACCTAACTTCTTTTTCATGCTTTCGCTTAGTCTTAAGATATTAACACTATTTGTTTTTGTAAGTGATTTATATGGTAAAATTAATGATTACACTTTCCTTTTTGAAGTTTCTTTTTATTCTGCAATAATTTATTGTGAATGTAGTGTCGGTCTATAATAGAGTGTGCACTTAGTTTTAAGTTTTTTTTTGCATGTTTGTTTTCTGTTCTTTTATTGGTGTAACAATTGTTGACTGACCAAAATAAATTTAAAAAAAGAATGTCTAAGTGTTCAATCTTTGTGTTAATGATCATAACAAAACTAGTGGAGTTATTCCCCAAAAAAAATCTCATCAATACATTTCATCAATAAGT